CCTAATAAAAAGAATAAAATCTTCAATCAATTTTCAGAAAAGAGCAATCAGTTAGTAAAAAGTTAAAGGGTAGTTAAGGTTTATAAGCTCCCAAAGTCACATTTCAGAGCTCCATATTTAAAGATCACCTCTGTGTCCACACACGAAATATTTGCCTACTTTTGGTTGGCGGACATAATAGCCGACTTAGTTATCTACATATAGTGACTCCATTTATCAACTTTCTGTAATATCCTATTGTTTTTATGAAATAATCCATACATCTGATAATTCTCCTTTACAAAATATATATACATATATAATAAAAGTATATATATAGAACAAACTTAAACATTTGAACAAAGTAAGTTCCGATATTGATACCTTTTGTGTTACGCTAGGTTATCTATATACAATGACTCCATTCATTTTCAGCGTACTATGATTAGTCTCTAACTAATTAAAAGTTTGAAGCCTAGCCCAAGGTCTAAATTTCGATCCTTAAAGGTCCTTTTGTTTTGTCGTTGCAAACGCTAGCTCTTGTAAAGTCTTTAACCTTATGTTATAAATTCATAAGCAATTTTCTTGTTGGTAAGTTTTATAAGTAATTGCATGTATATGTTTTGTTTCAATATTGCCATTTAAAATCTAAATTTAGGTACTGAAACCATAGTGTTAAACATATGTAATTGACTAGATTAATTCATTCAATTTATTATCAAAACTCTTTGATGGAATGATTTTTAACCAGGCTCGCGAATGAAGATCAATAAACGAATATATGGAACAATATTTGCCTCCACACGGTTGAGAAGGAATCCTTTAAATCACTAATGTAACGGAATGACAAGATGACACATATTCTTCTTTTAAAATATGTATTAAAAAAAAAAAAAAAAATTTAATTTTTCCTATCTTATATTTAAAATTTAAAATGAATACGTGTCATTATCTAATGAATTATACAATGTCATTATCTTCGAAAAATAGACACGTGTCATATCTAATATTTATACCAATTTCATTATCTTTATTATTGTTGAGAGAGAGCCAACTCCATTATGCGAAACTTGTTAAATATTACAAGAATTTTATTCATAATTATGCTAATGAATGGATTCTCAAAAAGCAAAATCCTATTCTCTGTTTTTTGGTAAAAAAAACGATGAAGAGAATCAACCCCTAAAATGCGCTGGGATGCGGCATACCGCAGCGTGAACATGACATTTCTAGGATTTGTGGTTTTTTAGGAGTATTAATCACAACTTTATCTTTGTTTTTTCAAACTTTCCAAGTGGAAATCAAATACCCAACATGATTGATTGAGGAATGGCTCCTAAGTGTCAACTTTCTAAATAAAGTGACTCATGTTTCATCTTTGCACTTGCTATTGTGCTCTCATGATTCAGGCGCATGATAGCCTATCCAAAGGAAATGTCTCCTAAAAATATAATTAAAAAAATTAAATCAACTTATAAGAAATTGCCACGTCGGATTGAGCAATTTCCCAGCTGGCCAAATCAACACCCAATGCTTTTCAAGAGTGGGCATCTTTGCTTTGCACCTCCATCATTGAGGACCCCTATCCAATATAAGATAGATTCGCATATTATGGGCTCAACAGTCCAATAACCCCCTATTGGGCTTCACCCAAGAAGGCCCATTAGACTTTATAGGCAATTATCAACAATTGACGTGCTAAATCAATCTCCATCATAGTCTTATGGAAATGAAGTTTTCGAGGTCAACTCCCATCACCAAACTCACACTCACTGATATTTTGATAAGAAAGTAAGGAATTAGATCCTCTCCATTACTTTTTATCTGGCCAACTTTCTGATTCTTGATTGGTTCGGTATATTGCTGGGGGTAAGGATTCTCTTCAGCTAAATCTTTCTTATAAACTTTGAAATCTTTAATTTAATGGTTCAAATTTAGTCATATTATCATCTTATTTAACCAACCTGAGTCAGAATCACAGAGAGCTACGGAATTCAAAAGAAAGTGTGTTGGAGAGAATCTATTTCCACATCGCACATTATATCACTAAAAACATTACCATGTCTAAAACAATTTTGATCCATCTAATATGATATAGTATCAAAACACAACCAGAAAGAGGAAGGAGTATAGAGGATTTTAATCTAAAGGGTAAGATCATATAATTTGTGTAAGAAGATATGGCTTCCAAATTTGGCAAGTGAAGCTTTGCTTTATGACTATGTACTTAGGTAGTAAGTGATGTATACAAATTCTAATATATTTTCAAAGTTCAAACCTCAGTGGAAGTATGTGTGTGAGTACTCAGGAAAAAAAAAAAAAAAATCTACATAACAAATAATGTGAGACTCTAAACAAGAAAAACATAGCTGAAATTTGTTTGTGGTAATGTTGGTGTCACTATAACTAATCCCAAATCCCAATATTAATGTGTGCTCGTAGTCACTTCACATCTTAGCTAAATGATGAATTGTAACTTCTAATTCCTAAAAACATGCATTGCATTCATTTCAAGTTTTCAACATTGATTCAACAGATTTAGCATAAACATTATCAAGGTTTTGCATCACTATCCCTCACTAAATCATTCAAGAATTTGCATATCATGAAAATTGATTCACGATGGTACGATGAAATAATGCATTCCAAATCTAAGACTTCTTATAAAATTATCGTATTTTAAGTGATAAAAGTATTAACATGACATATGAAAAGTATTGAAAAAGTGGGACTTAGGTTAAATATATCAGGCTTTATGTACATAGTGTAATAGAGAAACAAAAAATTCCAAGCTTATCCTTCTGCATTCAGTCCCCGCCATTTATACAGGTAATAGAGAAACTCTTATGTTCTAGTTCCGTACAGATTGTACACATGTAGAGTGTTGAGGCCACCATTTAGTTTGCTCACTACAAAGTCAACTGAGTGGAAGGATTAAATAAATTGAGCACCAACTCTTTTCATTAATAATTACTAGTATTAAGTAAGTGGTCCTATTTTGGTTTATTGAGCACACTATATGGTTCAACTGAAAAGGAGTGGACAATGGGCACCCTAATTACCCATTTAAAAGATTGATAGTTGGATAAGTTAAAGTTCAAATACATGTATCTGCTCATGTTTGGCTTATTTTCGACTAATATGAGTGTATTTGTTGTTTTCTCTTCGACTAATACTGGTGAATCTGTTATTTTCTCTCCGGCTAGATCTATATCAGTTTTGGTTGTTCCCGACTTGATCATATCTTTTCCACTTGATCTGATCTTGTGCGAATTTGGGTGGTTTTTTCCCTATAGGAAGCGCATTGTGGTTGTAACTTTGGAGATGTTACCTTAACGATGGCCAGACATTTGAGTTTCTCCTGTTACTACTCTTCTCCCTTGGTTTCCATTCTTGAGTTTTGGCTCTTGTTCTCAACAAATTTGGAGTCTATTTTTCATTTTTTCTTATTTTGCATCAAGATTTGTATACCTTTATTTGGCTTGGCCTTTTACCTCTATACTACCATTGATAGCTTGGCTTTTGTGCCTTTGCAATGATAAAATAATAATAATAATAATAATAATAATAATAAAGAACTAATTGCACAATTTGAGAAAATTTTCAGACATGTTTATATAGTCAAATTGAAATTATTGGACCACATATCAACTTCTTGATACAAATTATAATTGAACGATTTGGGAAAGCTTTAAATGGAAGATTGAGCTAAATGGAAAGAGAATTTCAAAATTAGGATTTACAGAATACAACTTTTCAGTCTTTAATAAAAGAAGAAGAAGAAGAAGAAGAAGAAGAAGAAGAAGAAGAAGAAGTAGGATTTAGTCTTAATTTTTTCTATAAATAATGGACACAACAAGTGGTTCAAGGAACAAACTTATAAGCAAACAAGTAAAGAGGGGCCTGTTCTCGACTGTAAGCCTACATCATATGTATCACACACAAGGATTAACCAAATCAAATTATTATTACACATATATATAAACCATATACATACATATATATAGTTTTTTTTTTTTTTTTTGTGTACAATGCGCATTGCCTAAAAGTGGTAGATGCCCATAAATATTTTGATCCAGTGTTGTGTCTTAAAGGGGTGTTGCTTTTCTTCTCTGTATCATTCCAATTTCATGAGATAAAGATTTAATGGAGCTAACCATTGATCATGAGAAGTGTTAAAGATCAACACTGATATACTTAAGTTTTAGGACATTGATCACTGTCCAAGTAAAAAACCTTGATCACATCAATAGGTCATGATCAACAAATTCAGACTTCAATATTTTTATTAAATGAAAGGATAGTGATGGGAGTGCTTTAATGAAGATGCCATTAAGCAGGAGAAGGATAGTTATCCATTGGCAATACGGACTCTCATATCAATGGGCACTAGCTTAGATGGTAAAAGTGCTTTTCAAAGTTGGGTGAGTGTGCGTTTGCTTGAACTTTCAAGTACGTCTAGAAAATACTCGCGTCTCCCTACTAGAATCCAAATATACGAAAAAAAAACACTATAGGGCTTAAATGGTATAAGTGCTCCTCCCCAAATGGGAAGTTGGGTGGGTGTACATTTGCTCAGAAAATACTCGCGTCTGCCGACTATAATCCAAATATAAGGAAAAAAACACTAGGGGCTAGATGGTATAAGTGCTCCTCCCCAAATGGGAAGTTGGGTGGGTATGCATTTGCTTGAACTTTCAAACGTGTTCAGAAAATACCCATATCTGCCAACTAGAATCCAAATATACGGAAAAAAAACACTAGGTCTTCGATGGTATACATGCTCCTCCCCAAATGTGTTTTTTTTCGGTATATTTGGATTCTAGTACGCAAATGTGAGTATTTTCCATATATATACACGAGCGTGTTTTATACGTGTACCATACACGAATTAACTAGCTAGGGTCATGATCAACAAAGAAAAAAGCAATGATATTGATCTGTATGTTGTTTTTATTCAAACATCTCATCAGTATAAAGGATTTGCATTGATGTTATTCTCTCCCAAGTGTAAGTGGGGTATAAACTTAAAGCTTCTTTATGCAAAGGCATGCACTTCCTATCTCTGTCTGATCGATATCAGTACACCACTGCACAAACAAACCTTTTTCATCACCAGAACTTATTACTACTGCATCCAATGATCCCCTCAATCACTCCATTTATAAACTACTTCTCTTCCTCACCTTGTCCCCTGCAACAACCAACAAAGTTCAAGTTTTTCTTCATCTGATCACTCACTCTATATATCTATATCTTGCCATGTCTCTCCTATATGTTTTCTTTGTTGTGTTGTTGCTCTCTCTTTCGAACTATCCTTATGTTGCCGCGATTAACCAGACTCAGTTCTTCACTCTTGCGAAAAAGTCCCTCTCAGGGGACTCCTTGGCCTATTGGGATGTCACAGGAGCCAAAAATGTTTGCAGCTACACCGGAATTGGCTGCAACAAAAAAGGGTATGTTGTGAAGATTGATGTCTCCGGATGGTCACTGTCTGGCCGCTTTCCTGAAGATGTATGCTCTTACCTGCCTGAATTGCGCGTTTTGAGACTCGGCCACAACAACTTCCAGGGCGGTTTTCCTGACAGCATCACCAACTGCTCTCTGTTGGAAGAGCTTGACATGAGTTTTTGCTATCTGACAGGGTCACTGCCGGACTTTTCGCAAATGACCTCTCTCAGGACACTTGATATGTCATACAATCTCTTCACAGGCGAGTTCCCTATGTCGGTGACTAATTTAACCAATCTCGAGGTGCTGAATTTCAATGAAAATGGTGAATTCAACTTATGGCAACTTCCTGAGAACATTTCCGCATTGACAAAGATCAAAATCATGATTTTGACAACTTGTATGATGCGCGGTCCAATTCCAGCATCGATAGGAAACATGACATCTCTTGTTGATCTTGAATTGACCGGCAATTTCCTAGTGGGGCATATTCCGGCAGAGCTTGGATTGCTGAAGAACCTGCAAAAGCTTGAGCTTTACTACAATCAGCTGGATGGTGACATACCTGAGGAGCTCGGGAATCTGACAGAACTAACAGAGTTGGACATGTCAGTTAACAAATTGAGAGGAAATGTGCCGGAGTCTATATGCCGCCTTCCCAAGCTTGAAGTTCTGCAGCTCTACAACAACAGCCTCAGTGGAGAGATCCCAAGTGTGCTCGGAAACTCAACCACCTTGACCATGCTATCGCTCTACGACAATCACTTGACAGGACAAGTCCCGCGAAATCTAGGGGGATCATCACCTATGATATTGTTCGACTTGTCAGAGAATCAACTCTCTGGAGAGCTGCCTAGAGAGATTTGCAATGGAGGTAAATTGATCTACTTTCTTGTCTTGGAAAATATGTTTTCTGGAGAATTGCCTGAGAGTTATGGAAAGTGTGAGTCTCTTCTTAGGTTTCGAGTTAGTGATAACAATTTGGAGGGCTCAATACCTGAAGGAATTTTAGGCCTTCCCCATGTTTCAATCATTGATTTGGCTTACAATCGATTGAATGGTCCGATTGCCAAAGCAATTGGAAATGCTAAAAATTTGTCAGAGCTTTTCATACAGAACAACCAAATTTCTGGTGTTTTGCCACCTGAAATTTCTCAAGCTTTCAATTTAGTGAAAATTGATCTTAGTAACAATCTTCTCTCCGGTCCAATACCATCCGAAATTGGCAACCTAAGGAACCTCAATCTGTTGGGGCTGCAAGCTAACAAGTTTAATTCTTCCATCCCAACGTCACTTTCTTCACTGAAGTCTCTAAATGTTCTTGATCTTTCCAACAATCTCTTGATGGGAAGTATCCCAGAAAGCCTCTGTGAATTGTTACCAAACTCTATGAACTTTTCGAACAATCTGCTTTCTGGTCCTATTCCTGCTTCATTCATAAAGGGAGGTTTGGTAGAAAGTTTTTCGGGAAATCCAGGTCTCTGTGCTCCAGTCTATCTTAATTCATCAGACTCAAAATTCCCCATGTGTTCACAAACTTATAACAGAAAGAAAATAAACTGCATCTGGGTGATTGGGGTTTCGGTGGGGATTGTCATTGTCGGAATTGTGTTGCTTATAAAGCGTTGGTTCAGTAAAGAAAGAGCCATGATGGACCATGAGGAGACCTTGTCTTCTTCATTTTGCTCATATGATGTCAAAAGCTACCATCGACTAAGTTTTGATCAACGAGAGATCGTCGAAGCCTTGGTTGATAAGAACATAGTGGGGCATGGAGGGTCCGGGACAGTGTATAAAATCGAGTTGAGCAATGGGGAAGTTGTTGCTGTGAAGAAGCTGTGGAGTCCAAAAACAAAAGATTGTGCTTCAGAGGATCAATTGGTGTTAAACAAGGAGCTGAAAACCGAGGTTGAGACTCTGGGAAACATTAGGCACAAGAACATAGTGAAGTTGTATTGCTACTTCTCGAATTTGGATTCCAGCTTGTTGGTCTATGAGTACATGCCAAATGGAAACCTTTGGGATGCACTTCACAGAGGAAAGGTCCTTCTGGATTGGCCTACTCGCCATAAGATCGCGCTGGGGGTGGCACAGGGTTTGGCCTACCTCCACCATGATCTGTTGTCACCAATCATTCACCGAGATATCAAGTCGACCAACATTCTACTGGACATCAATTACCAGCCAAAAGTTGCAGACTTCGGCATAGCCAAAGTTCTGCAAGCAAGAGGAGGGAAAGATTCCACTACCACTGTCATTGCAGGGACTTATGGTTACTTGGCCCCAGGTAATTTTCTAATCCAACTCAACTTTATTGCAGTTACTTGTGATGAATTTTTTTATTTATTTATAATTTTCTAATATTAGAAATTAAAACACTAGTTTTGGGCTGTAAGTATTTCAGAATTGTGCTCATGGTACATCAGAAGCCTTTCAGGATTTTTTATCGACGAATTCTTTTAGCAGTTGCACATATACATGATCATGTTGCACATATACATGATCATGTTATATAACTCAATTTTATGGTGTATTCATGAGACTAATGTTGTATTAATTTTAAACAACGACTGTGGACAGAATATGCATACTCTTCAAAGGCAACAACCAAATGTGACGTCTACAGTTTCGGGGTAGTCTTAATGGAGCTAATAACAGGGAAGAAGCCTGTGGAGGAAGAGTTTGGAGAGAACAAGAATATCATCTATTGGGTATCAACCAAAGTTGAAACCAAAGAAGGAGCTATGGAGGTTTTGGATAAACAGGCATCAGGGTCATTCAAGGATGAGATGATTAGGGTTCTCCGGATTGCCATTGCATGCACATGTCGAACCCCTACCCTTCGCCCAACTATGAATGAGGTTGTACAGTTGCTGACTGAGGCCGACCCCTCCAGATTCGATTCTTGCAAGTTGTCGAATAAGACCAAAGAAACAGAAAATGTCACTAAAACAAAGAATCCACATGATTCATGATAGAGTAGGGTTTTGGTGGGGTTTAAGGTGAAGTCATATAGCATCTATACAACAGTACTGCCTCTCAAAATATTGAGAGATACTATTCATAAGGCGTAGCTTAGCCTCTTTTTTGTTTTTCCTAAGAAAAGCAGTACATAGATTCTGTGTTGTTTTTTTTTTTCTCTTCCTTGGCCTATTGTAAGTATTTGAGGCATATAATTAATACTACTGCTTTATCGAAACGCACAGCATCTATGTTTGCGTAGCCCCACAGAGCAAATTATTCTGTAGCTTTTAAGAAATCTGTTTCTTTGCTCTTTATGTCACGAGAGTAATCCAAAGGAAAAGAGGCTCAAATGGTGAGAGTGGAAGGATGTGATTCACGGGGCGGACTTCTTTTTTGCATCAAAGTGGGATTCTGATTCCGGATTTTAAAATTGTGTATGATTTGCTGGTGGAGGGACCTCTTCAGCTTACCTATCCATTGGAAAAAGATGAATGGGGATGATTGATGGTGAGCATCTTTGTCTCCATTGAAGCCAGGGACACTCGAGAAAGCATAATAATGGCCTCTTTTTATCTTTCTTCTGTTCCCTCCTCTTTTTTTTGTGAGTTTGATTGATTTGTTTGGGAATGGAAGTGCAAATAAGGAGGATGAATAAGCACCAAGCTTGTTTCACCATAGATAGTGTGTGCCCATGAACTCCACTTACTAGTTGAATGCTCTCTTTTTCTGTTTTTTCTTTTTTTATCAAGTGTATTGAAGCATATATCTTCTAAAAATTAATATAATATTTTTGTGGTCTTATAGTAGATTAGTCATGTTACAGACACAACATTGAGTTCAACTACTAATTGATCAATTGGCAAGCATTGAAATCAGTTTCTGAAACATATTGTGGCACAAGCTTAAGGCTTCAAAAATGTGTTCACACACTAGTGTGTGAGTTTCAACTACTAGTCTATCAATCTGCAAGTGTTGAAATCATATTCTGAAGCATGACAAGCATAGGATACAAGCATCATGTGTACGTGTTTGCGCACGTGTGTACAAGAATTATCAGTGTTTTGAAGCATATATATATCTTCTAAAAATTAATATAATAGTTTTGTGGTTTTAAAGAAGACTGGTCATGTTATAGACACAACATTGAGTTCAACTACTAATTGATCAATTGGGAAGTACTGAAATCAGTTTCTGAAACATATAGTGACACAAGCATAAGGCTGCAAGAATGTGTTCACACACAGTAAGTGTGTGAGTTTCAACTACTATACTATCAATCTGCATTGAAATCATATTCTGAAGCATGAAAAGCATAGGATACAAGCATCATGTGTACGTGTCTGCGTGAGTGTACAAGAACATGAGTGCGCCATGAACTCCACTTTCTAGTTGAATGCTCTTTGTTTATCAAGTGTTTTGAAGCATATGTCTTCTAAAAATTAATATAATAGTTTTGTGGTCTTAAAGTAGATTAGACATGTTACAGACACAACGTTGAGTTCAACTACCGAAATCAGTTTCTGAAACTTATAGTGACACAAGCATAATGCTGCAAGAATATGTGCACACATAGTAAAAGTGTGAGTTTCGACTTTCAGCTACTAATCTATCAATCTGCAAGTGTTGAAATCATATTCTGAAGCATGACAAGCATATAGGTTGCGCGCGTGTCTGCAAGAACAAGAACAAGAACGTGTGCACGCACTCTGGCGCGTGTGAGTTCCAACTTTGTGAGTGGTGGGTGGGCTCCTCTAGAAAAAAGAATGAGATTCATGGAGACTAATATTTCTTTTGGCATGGTGGAGACTCCATGAATGAAAAGCAAGAAACTTTAATAAAAACGAATAGTTCTTGAATGGAAGAGTGGACATGGCTATTAGAAGTTTCTCTTCAGGACAGATATGTCCTCTCCAAATGTACAATCATTTCAATCCTACCTTTCATTGTTTCACCAATGTTTCAGTGAAAAACTAAAGGTTATAATGATGATAACTTTCACTGAACTAACACGGTCACAACAATTATTGATTTAGGGTTCATTAAGTATTCAAAGTGTCTGCTTTTTGTACATGAAGGACGACTTCTGCAATATGCCATTTCACCGTTTAAATTGACAATTTAGGATTAATTTAGTGAATGTGGATTAAACACTAACATAGCCAAGCAAATATGAATAGCACGCCATGAGCAAATAATAATTACCCACTAAACAAATGTGGCATTAAATTAATATACAAACCATGACTATTGAGTTTCAAGTTTCTGAGGATGAATGTAATGATGGATTTCACAGTTTTTTATTGAAGTGGTTTACCCGTGTTAAGGTGCTTCAGTTGGTTTGGTGCTTCAGTTGGTTTGGGCAATTCGACAAACATGTAGTTTGCAAGAGCATGGAATTAGTGCCTTAGGACTGATATCGGAGAAAATTTAATTTCAAGACAACTTATACGCTTCGAAATGAATTCCAACTCGAGAGACAAATTAGTCAATATGGTTAAGCAGGGGTGGAGTAAGGAATACCTTCATGTGGGATCCACGTAACAATTTTTCGAACATACCACCGTCGCCAAAATGATTCCACATGTGGAGTCATTACACTAACTTAAACAGTCCAATATCACCCGTACATACCTAATGTGAGATCACAACACGACTATACATTAGTGACACCAGTGACGAGTGAGTTCTAACTCGGGTAATAAATTAGTCAATATGATTAACTTGAGAGTGCAGTGAGGAATACCCTTGTGCGTTTGGAATGTATCATTGTGGCCAAAATGATTTCACCTATAAAAGAATTAATTTGTGGAGTTATCTGCATTAAATTTAAAAGTTCAATATCACTCGTACACACCTGATGTGAGATCACAACACGTTACTCTTTAGTGACACTAAAGGCGAGTTTTCAATTCACCAAAATGATTCTACTCATAAAAGAATTAATTTATAGAGTTGTTTATACTTACTTAAAATTTTCAACATCTATTATATATATACCTGATGAGAGATCACAACACGTGTCTGTGTCTATACATCAGTGGCACCAGGAATGAGAATATTTTGCTATTTACTTACATGTATGGTAAGTAGCTCCACATACCCAACACCGATGAACAATAATAATTATCCACTAAACAAATATGACATTAAACTAATATAGACACCATGACTATGAGTTTCAAGTGTCTGTTTAGAATGTAATGATGGGTTTCACTGTTCTATAGAAGTTGTTCACCCACGTTAGGGTGTTTCAGTGCGTTTAGGTAATTGGAAGTTTACAGTAAAACTACATTTAACCGCATGAAATTAATATCTTGAAATTAAAATTAGAAAAAAAATAATTTTAATTCTAGTTTCAAAGCATCTTACATAATTTAAAACACAACAAAAATCTTTTAAACTAGTTCTAACTCGAGACAAATTAATCAAATATGATGGAGCAGAGAGACTAAGGAATACCTTCCAGTGAGACCCATGTAACAATTTTTCAAACGCACCATTTGTGCTAAACTGATTCCGCACGTAAAATAATTAATTTGTGGAGCTGTCTGCACTAACTTAAAATGTCTAATATCACTCATACATAATTAATGTGAGATCACATAACATGTCTATGTGTTAGTGAAACTAGAGACGATTCTTTTAAAGTACCACCATCGCCAAAATGATGTCACATAAAAAAAGTAATTTGTAGAGTGCACTAAAATGTCCAATATCACTCGGAAACACGTGCCATCAAATCACAACACATCTATAATCGGTAGCCCAAGTACCCAATAATTTTCCCATATTGCTTTATAGAAAGATAGTTCTAAGCCAAGCCAAGCCAAGCCCAACCTGTTTCCTCCATATGTGTGTGGAGGCAAGGCAGATTAGTAGGCTAAAACTTAGTATTGAAAGTTGGTTATGAACTACTACGTAATAGAAGGAAAAAAAAACACTACAACGTAATAGGCTAGGCTAGGCTAGGCTAGGCTAGGCTAAGCCCAGTTTTGTTGTGGACCTGAGTCATTTGTGTAATAGTTATGATTATATATATATATATTAAAGTTAAATTTTTTTTTTTTTTCAAAAGCTGGTGAGCCCCACCAATAAATTAAAAACATAACAAAAGGTCATAAGGCCATTTCTCAGACTCGTGGGTTTTCTCTCTTTCTGCTGCATCACTCCTCTCGGCAGTTTTCTTATTTTTTCTCTTTTTGCAATTTCAAGCTTGATCTAACTCTATCCCTTTGAATTTGGTAGAACCATGTGAAGCAAAGTCGGAGAGCTCGTCGAGGCCTTCAATTTGATAGGAGCCAATCATTATTTGGTGCACTCTAGGGAGTTCGAAATTCTAGAGTTCTTGGACTTAAATTGGGAGTTTTTATCAATTTGAGGTAGGGGTGCTCTAATCCACTAATTCTTGCATTTCTTGTGAATTTTTCCCCTTAATTTTACTTAAACATGCTTACTTATATTTTTTTGTGATTATGTTTATCAGGGTTATTTATATTGATGGTGATAAATGTGTGTTATGTGCTAATTGGGTTTATTAGTATGATGATTTTTAACTTGTAAAGAAGCATGCTTAGTGTTGGTTTGTTTTCATGATTTTCAATTGTTATGACAATTTATGTTATGAGTATGGAAATGAATTTGTGCATTGTATATTTAAATTACTAGTAAAATGAGAAATGAGAATATGAGTTGTCCATTTTTAGTAACTTATTAATTTATTGAAAAATGTATGTGGAAACTTTATGGTTGAATTGATGAAATGAAGTATGAAGCATTTATGCATCCATTGGGAAGAAATAGGTGGAAAAATGTTTTAAAATAAATGAATTTGTTCTTGGAAAAAAAAAAAAAAAATTTAAAGGAGTTTGCGAAAACCGGACGCCTAGGAGGCGCTTTGTGGTCCGTGATGTTAGTGTAGTCTAGTAGGGAGCATGGTTGAGCTAACTAGGCCGGATGCGACGCCTTTGAGGTGTCTTGTGGTCGTGGATAGTTAGTCAACCCTCCATTCGTGATGCCTTGGAGATGCCTTGGGTCGGATTACACTAACGGTTTTGGAAGTTGAAACGGAAATGTTTCGGAAGATGGGGAGTGACATTTGCATGACATTGCATTACATGACATTATGGTAAACTTGTGATTGGTTGATATTTGTTACATTCTTGTTATTGTATTTGAGAATGTGCGTTTCTCTATAGCATGATCCCATTCACTTTTTATCTATTCATTGTATGGATTCACGGGATATAAGAAGTGTATCTTAGACACTTCCTATTGAGCTTATGCTCACCCCATTAGTTTTAACATTTTTCAGGATATGGAAAAGAGGTGGCGGACGACGGTCCACTACAGGTTTAGACGAGCTTGAAGACCCATTCTATTTTGTTATCTTTTGTATTAGACTCTAGTATTTTGTAAATGTAATATTAACTACCTTGTGAAACTTTAGTTTAATTAGTATAATGTTATAAGTTATGGACTTTTAAATTCTTACTACATTTTGGACTGTAAATTGATGTAACTAGAGTGTATCCCTTGTTTGGATGAGATGGAGGAACGGGACTTCTGTATGTATGTAGCCATTTTGGGAATGTAATATAATATCTGTATTGTGCGTTGGGACATGATATGTTAGATTTAAGGCCCAGTGAGGCCATTGCATTTATTTTTTGTATTTCAACGGGTCATAGAGGGACTTTTTCTGCGGAGGTCATGCTGAAATTATATATATATATTTTATTATTATTATTTTGGTATCCTTTTGGGGCGTTACAATTTGGGTCTGCTATGTCAAAGGGCTATCGTTGTT